ATATTTTTTCCAGTACAATAGCAAGTTTAAGATTTATTGCCCTCTTTTGTGCCACACCATTGATTGCTGCCCTTGGGCCATAAGTTCTTCAAGCTGCAGCTGGATTATATGAAGTGTTCATCTGCAATATCTATTAAGCAATCAGACTTTTTGATCCTGTGCCCTTTTTTCACTGCACCTTTCCTGTGCTCTGAGGCAGCTGGATCTGGCCCAGTATTTTTCTCCAAAACACGCTCCCTCAGAGCAATACACTCAACACCAGTCAAACATTCATTCCTTTACTACATGGAGGAAGATAAAAACGCCTTAAATACTCTACAGATAGTTGTATTTGCAAATGTAAGGACTTTAACTCAAAGCAGGTCTTGAATATTTCCCATACATTTTCTGTACTCTTAAAATGTAAAATGAAATTAACCTGGAGGAAACAAAAGTAAATTTGTTTTTAGCTTAAAGCTTGCTGTTTGAGAGTCTGTTGAGAGTCTTTTAAAAGGATATTGTAGAGCAAAAGTCTTGTGTATTACCAAGAATGTTTTAGTGGTACTCTCAACTGAAAAGTAATTGAAGGGGTGGGTAAAAAGGGCTCGTTTTTTCTTTATTTCAGTCACAGATGCACCAAAGCATAGAAGCAGCAAAACATTTTCAGTACCTACTTGTTAAGAGTTGAAAGCAAAAAACTATGCCATTTATTTTTGGGTACCAATGCAGTTGTCGTAGAATACTTATTAAAAAAAGAAAAATAAAATGATGCAAACATTGGTAATGTATCATTTGCAGCTCATAGTTTTAGTATCAGCTTTGATAAATTTCACTTTATCCACAACTAAATAAAGAGTAAGAATAGGCATTTCCTGCTAGTTGCTTAGCACACAGCTGATTTCAAAATGAAGAGAACTGATAAACCATGATTTGATTTTTGAGAGGTTTATAGCAAAAGTCTTTCACGTGAGAAGAGTTTCAGATCAGGAGTTTTAGAGCGAATTACTTCATACTGTCAGCTTCAAGTGCATGGAAACATTGAGGCACATTCCTGTAAGGTGTTTCTCTTATGTTACAATTAAAAAGACATTATTGTGTTTTGCAGCAATATTTGCAAACAATTAGTGAAGGTTTCACAGTAAAATATTTACATGAAATGGAGATGGTGCACAGCAGTGGCCAAATACTCTATTGATTTCTACGCAGTGCACTGATAACCTACCTGTAGAATATTAAAGACAGCACAATATTCAAATGTGTTAAAGAATGCATTAAATAAAGGTTAACCAGCAACAAAGTTAGTAAGACTTATTTGATTGTAAAGGTAATGCTTCTTTAAAAGTGTGTCAAAGGAAAACAAAAACTGAGATAGGGTAACAATCACTGGTTTTCCCTGAGTAGCATGTATGTTGGCATCAAGTGATATATATCAGATCATGTACTTCAGAAAACAAAATCACACCAAAGCCAATTATGTTTCTTTCATAAAAATGTTTTAAGCATGTTCTGGTTTAAAAGACAGGTGTCTGCAAAGGAAGGCAGGAACCTCCCTGGAATGGAAAACATGACTGTCTCCCAGTCCCTATGGCACCCCACACATTGGCCCTGGACCCTCAAATGGCCGGGAAACAGGGAGAAGGCGAGCAGGCGTGTGTGTAGAGCCAGCGGTGAACAGGAGTCTCGGAGCCCAACGCGCAGGGGGCCGGCAGGAGGCACTCCCGGTCCTGGGTTTGGCACCACACCGCTGGCCCTGAGCTCCCGAGGGGCAGGGAAGCAGGTGAGCAAACGGGCAGGCCCTGGTCGCAGTGCTGCAGGAAAAAAAAACCAACAAAAACCCCAACAGGGCAGCAGGATCTTAGGTCAAATCCACTCACTGTGCTGTCCTTATCCCTCACTGAAAGGAACGACCAGCTCCAGCTCCAACTGCTGCAAGAGACCCCAGGCCCCCCTTCACCCATTATGACATCCCCCGAGCCATGGTGGAGAAGGGGGCAAGGAGGAGGCGAGGGGGAAGGCAGTTAGGTCAGTGACAATTCTGGGCACAAAATGACTGTGGGATAACCCCATTACCATGAGCCACCCTCTGTGCCAGCCCCACAAAACAGAGCATTAAAAGCAGTAAGCATTGCTGAAAGGTTCGCATTTTACAAGATGCTGGGCATGTCATGTTTGTAACAAGTGTGAAACAAGAAATTTTATAGCTTATGTGTACATAATATGTGTACCTTGTACTGAATTGGTCTTAAAGTGTGCCATTCAATTTATTAATAAGTACTCTACTGCAGTGTCTTTTAAGATAGTTGACTCCTATCTCAACAACTGTGGAAATATTTTATCTCTACAGAAAGACATGGTCAGATTACAGACAACTATGCATTCATACTTTCATAGCTCAGCCTCGAAGTCAAGATCAATTCAGTTATGGACAATTTTATATTTGAGCTTAAAAATAACATTTTAGCAATAAATTGCAAATATCTCACTGCACAGACACAGGCAGAGGTGGCATCTTACAGTGGTTTCCAACAACGACCTGACTAGTAGAAGTGTCTCCCAGCATCTAGTTAGGAACGCCCTGGGCCAGAGGTACTTTCTATGTGAGTGATAATCTGTAATGGATTTTCCCTCCAGGAACTTGCCCACTGACTCTTGAAGGTACTTGAGCTATGTAGAAAAACCTCCTTCTTCAGACTATACTGGCACCCACACCTGTTACAGCAACTGATAAAAACAACTAATCACTGAATGAAAGCACAAGCCCAAGTGTATCCATGTGCACCAGCCAGGAAAATGCAGCCACGCTCCATGAAGCCAGTGCAATGCAGCCAGCTCTATATGCACCACATGTGGCTGACATCGGTGCCCATCACACCTGGGTGCTCTAGGGGAAGTCATCTGCTGAACAAAAATCCGGCACTTTTCTGTGCGTTATACTGTATGTAAGATCAAAACAGTTTTGTACCGAAATATTAAGAACTCCCAATATTACATATTGTGAAAAACACCAATCACTTGGGTTTTTTTTTAATTTTAAAAGTTTAATAGTAATAAAATGGTTATAAAAATAGTAGTACAATTAGAGTCATAATAATTTGGACAATTTGAATTAGGAAAATATGAGACAATAGAGACAAAGAGTTACATATGTCCAGGTACCTTTTTCTGGGCAGCACGAGCCCAAAAAAGGACACATGTTAACAAAGGATTAACCCTTAAGAGCTATAGCCTGTTGCATATTCATACACTCCTTACGTGATGCATAAATTCCATTCAAACAAAGGATTCGGTCTGGTCATCGTCAACTTCTTCCTCCTAATCCTAAGGCACCTTCAATCTTTAGCTAGGCAGGAAGAATTCAGTTTCTTCTGATAAGAGAACAATAAATTCCTTTTCTCTGAACGATTTAGGTGTCTTGTGGCTGCCATCTGGTGTGAGTGCCTCATTCCTTTCTTCAAAAAATATCCCACTTACATAGTTCTTATTTTAACTACAAAAATTACCTTTTAACTACAAGACTACATTTATATTATTAAAATGTTAATATAGCAATCAATACATCAAAATACATATAGTAAATATCTGCGTAGAGCCATATAATATGCACTTTTCACACATATGAATATCCAAAGAGATTTATTGTTGTCCAATCGCCAAAAAATGGCGACAAGAGTATATCCTTATGTATATGAATATCCATCCTCGCTGAAGGAAAACAGGCACTGCAATGCAGCATCCTTAATGTTTTGGGGACTCAAACTGTAACTACGGGGCTGAAAAAGGACCAGGCCGAGTACGTTACACCGCGCAGGGCCTGCCCGGCCCCGTGTG